CCCCAAAACCCCAAAACCCCAAAACCCCTAAAAATCCCTTAACCTTGAACTGCTAAAATCTTTCCTTCAGATCCTTCTCTCACTTAACTTATAATTCAGGCTCGATCTTTAACTTTTTGTTGTTACTGGTTAAAGTATAGATTATTATTTTAACTAGATTGTATCTTTTGCGGAGTCTTAGAGAGGTTTAGAGGGTGAGATAGAGGGCTGGAAAGGAGGAGATGGGGAGATGTGTCAGGTTTTTGGATTTTTGGAAAATTATGAGGGTATAGAGATTTGTGATGCCTTGGTCTAAGTCTAAAGTGTGAATTTTCTCTTTTAATCAAGAGTTTTGAATGAATCTCAAAATCGAAGGGAGGACTTCTTCATCCCAAGAGCTGGACCCTATTGCTTGACATTTACAAAATTCAAGTCTCAATGAGCATCTTTCAAAATCAGGAATATCACAATTCTGAAGTCTCGTCATGCTACATCTATCAAAGGAGATCTAAATATCAATTAAAATTCCAAAGTACAATTAAGACAAGTACATTCCCTTCCACGTACCAATGATGCATTCACAAAACTTCTAAAGATGCTAACCATCTGCTTCCCAAGAACCTTGAATCTTCAAATTTCTTATTATAAAAAAAAATTATTATCTTAAATAAATTGCAAATGAGAAGATTACACTAGGAGCTATCTTCATGACATATACCCATGAAGATATACCAAAACTTGAGGGTTTCCCTTCTCAATATATCTGGAGATTCTCGATATTTCTCTCGGTCTTCGTTCTTAATGCCTTAAGGGATTTGTCAGAGACTTTCAGGGTTAGGAATGAACCTGAAGGTCTTGATATCTTGAGGTATTTCTCTGCAGTCCTACTTCTTTTATTTCTAAAATAAAGATAATAATTTACGTTGTTAAATAGTGTCAATTTGTATCTTCTAAGTGACCCAAGGGTATCATAGTCGAGTTCTCTTCCTAAGATGTTCTGGTGAAGACTCTGCAAGAGTAAATGAGGTCTTACTCAAAGATAAAAAGAAGGAGCCTCTACCTGAAATATGAAGTTTAATGGTTACTTTACTGCCAAAGAAGACTTTAATTTCAATTTTTAAGAGTTGAACCCTTAAATCTTCGTCCTTTTGAATCTCCTTTTCTCTCTTTATGAAGAAGGCTTCTTCTGTGTTTCAAAGCAAGGGCTCCATGATCAAGATTAACTTTAAATAATTTGTCTAAAAGGATAGATCAAAGGGATATAAAGACGAGCAAAAATATCAAAAATTTCAGGAGGATATAGAGGTTGAAAAGGGAAAGAATGGAGAGTTTGCAATATTGATTTATTTTAGCAAATAAAACTCAGAAATGTCTAAAACAACTGGTATTAAATGATTTTATTGTTGTAGAAGAGTTTACTTCTGAAATGAGAAGTATCATTCAAGTATTCAAATCAATAAGTAAGATCTAGGTTTATATTACTAGACGAAGAGTCAGATTGGTATGTACAAGGAATTTGAAGGACCATTACAAACGATGAACTCATATCAAACAAGAAAGCAAACAGGCTACAACTAAATTCTGCTTTCACTAGAATTAAAGGTATGCCTCTCTCTACCCATAGAAACACTGTTCAGGAGCCTTTCTCAACAAAATGGGTACCTCAACAAGCTCTGGGCCCCTTCCAGTCCTTTAAGCCCCTCAAAATCTGGTCTTCAGACCCTCAGGCCACTCTGGAGTAAGCCATGCAAGCTAATTGGTTGTTCTGCAGATTATTTGTTCTAGTTCTGCTTGTAAAGATTACCAAATTTTAGACTCAGAGCAGCATAAAGAAGACCCTAAAGCTTCAGAAGACCACTACAGAAAAGTCGTAAGAAAAGCTTAAATGTAGGAAGTTGAGGGCCTGAAGTCAGACAATAACTGAACAAGCAGAAAATCAGAGAAGGGAAATAGTCAAGGAGTAGGAGAGTTTAAGCAACATAAGAGACAAGGTGAAGGAATGAATGGGAATGATGTGGAGAAGGAGGGTTCGAAGAAAAAGAAAAGATTTCAAAGACCTTTTACAAAAGTGAAGATTGCTGATTCCAAGTAAATTTTAGTGTAAAAATAGGTATCTTTATATATGTCAATTATGTTCTCTTGATCCAATAGAGCATATTGATTTAGATAAAAAATCTAATGAAAAAGAGAGGCAGAAAGAATTTAGTACCAAAAATTGGGGTCTCTTTAGATCTCATTTAGCTCTTCATAAAAAGTAAGCGCATCTAAAACTCTAGAAACCAAGTGTTCGATTGCCCAGTTTGTAAAATGGTCCTAAAATAACAAATTCACTCTCTACTCCCACGTTCGCACCCATTGGGGCACAACTCCATCAAACAGGCCTTACCACTGTCCTATACCAACCTGTACCCCCTCCTCTAACCCCATAGGCGACGTAACCTCCCATAGATCTGACTACCTCAACGTACTCTCCTCTTTCACCTCTAGAAACACTACAGGTTCCACCTCACCTCTCTTCCACCCTCCCTTCACCCCAAAACACCTGCAGTAATCATGGCTGACTACAACATCTCCAAACTCACCCAAGACTACATCACCAAAGTAACCGCCCTCAACAGCCAACAGATTAAGAAGGCCAGCTACGAGTTTGATTCTGTCATGGGAATGCCCTTGAAGGCCTACCTGAAGAAAGCCAAGAAGAGACTTAGCAAGAAGTAAGGGGTTATGGTGTAGTTGAGGAAAGTGACTGAAGGGAGTTTATGATGTTTTGGGTGAAAAGTTTACTCCTTTCTAACCCGATTTTACTATTGGGAAGGCATAAAATGTGATATAGAATTTGGGCGTTGGGGTGTGAATTTAAAAGTAAAGATTGATTGTGTGGTGTTGGTGAATTTGAGCTCACAATCTAACACCTTAAATTCGTGATACGCATTTTGGGTGTTGACAATGATACAGCTGGTGGTAAAAGCTGATTTTTCAGCCCAGAGTGGAGCAGAGACCATCCATCTACTCACCCCAGCTACACCATGAACTCCACTACTAAATACCTTCCTAATTTCTCAATCCAAAATTATTCGGAAGATATTTACTATAATTAACAACCCACAACATATCTTCAATTACAATCAGCCAAAATCAACCTTTAAACTCTTTAACAAGACATCTAAATCTTCATATCCCAAGAGACTAGCACTCAAGAGTTCTAAATGCTAGTAATCACCAATAACTAAACTGCCAAAACTGAATCCTTCAAGAGTTATCTCCGACTGTAGGATTTCAATTAGAGATAGACTCCTTGGGGTTTTGGGGTTTTGGGGTTTTGGGGTTTTGGGG